CTTGTGAAGTCAATGAGAGAGAAACAGCGAAATTCCATCGTCTGAAAATGGAAAACTCACCAGTTTTTCAAGGCAAGAAATCACTTGCTGCATCCTTCCGCTTCGAATAGCTATGTCCGAAACGCCATATCCACATTCGGTCAGAATTCTGTCGATTTTATTTTCAGATTCGAATGTCTCCTTTGCAGAAACAAGAGTGTTCAATATGTGAAAAACCTTGTCGTAAGGAAGATGACCTAGTGGCTACGAGATGTCATCATATCTTTCATCGTAAATGTGTAGAAATTCGCGTTAAAGAGAAGAAAAAACTGGACTGTCTCATTTGCCAAGAGTCGATGGCACTTGCCGATGCACTCCTTCCGAATCAATCTGACAAAGAAGAAGAATGCTCAATATGCGAAGCACCTATGCAACCAGAGGAAGATTTGGTAACGACAAGTTGCTGCCATACATTTCATCGTACATGTGCCGAGAACCGTATGAATGAGAAGAATAGATCAGATTGTCGCGTTTGCCAAACACCTGATGCGCTTGCGAATGCACTTCGAAGTGAAACTTGCACACAAGGGAAGTGTTCCATATGTGAGATGACCCTGAATCCGAAACCAGACCTTGTAACTACAAGCTGCCGTCATACATTTCATCGTACCTGCGCGGAAAATCGTGTGAAGGAGAAAAACAAACCAGACTGTCGCGTTTGCCAAAAGTCGATGGCACTTGCCGATACACTCCTTCCCAATCAACCTAACATAGGAGAAGAGTGCTCAATATGTGAAGCAGTGATGCAAGCAGAGGAAGATTTGGTAACGACAAGCTGCCGCCATACGTTTCATCGTACATGTGCCGAGAATCGTCTGAATGAGAAAAATAGATCAGACTGCCGTCTTTGCGAAAAACCTGATGCCATTGCCGATGCACTTCGTCCAAATGAACCTAATATAGAAGGAGAGTGTTTAATATGCGAGTATCCTTTAAATCACTTGGTGACCACAAGCTGCCGTCATTCGTTTCATTATGTCTGCGCTCGAAAACGACTTAATCAAGATAAAAAGACCGACTGTCATGTCTGTCACAAGGTTGGCGCACTTGCTGAAGCTTTGAGTGGAAAACCAAAGGCGTCAACGCCCGATGGTGCTCAAAGAATTTCTATGGAAACTCAACCAGAACAAAATGTAAGTATAGCTTGTTGTGTCACCAGCCCAGAGCAAAAGAAACAAGTCGCTTCAGGCTCATTCTAAGTTAGCTACATTGCCAAATTTCCTGATGTTCCGAATGTTTCGACGATTCATTATAAGCACAGTCACTTTGCCAACAATGAGAGAACAACTTTCAATAACTGTCTTGATCACTGTCTTTCCGAAAACATCGTTGAATTCAGTCCGCTTCGATCATCTTTTTTGGCGCTGTTTATCTTGAGGGAGAGAAAATTTTCTTGCTGTTAAACTCACATCGTAGCTAAGACATAAAGAAAGAAGAGAATAATCGACGAAGATCTGATTCGAGTAGTCTCTCCTACGAAGTGTTCGGTGGATGAAACTTGATTTAAAAGTGGCTCCCTCTCAGAAAAGTCGATTTTTCGAGAAAAACTCATTTTGAAGATTTATACATATTCTGATAGTCCTTGTGATGGACTATAACCTAGCATAATTAGTTTTGCCAAAATATGTAGGTTAGGTTTTTTCTAATGAGTTTTTTCGTGAGATCTCATAGCTGAGGAATATGAATCAAAAACTTTGTTTGCCGTTTGTCTCAAAATCAATTTTTTCGAACGTACTGTTTACGCGGGCAAGGTTTTCTTCATAACGACTCAATATAGAAGTGATAATTTCTTTTGTTGCATAGTACATAGGTAGAGCTAGATCCTCCCAGAGTCCGATTTTTGATTTCTGTTTTGGTGAAATAAACAACTTAGATATTTCATTTTTAGTAGCACTTTTTCTCAGCATAAAGTCGTGAATTTTTTGGAAAAAGGTTTTCTAAAAACAAACAAAGAAAAATTCAAAAATCGAGCCCTGTGAGGATCTAGTCCTAAGGGTACTCTACAACTTAAAAAACCACCTAGGCTTGTTAGCTCGTATCCTTATTCTGAAAACCTTGCCCGCGTACAGGGTACTTTTGACCAACAAATTGACTATAATTCATTAGTTTATTGGAGATTTGGGAGAGATATTTTAACCATAATCTGTCCTAGCCTAGACTAACATTCTCTGAAATTTTGGTTGAAATCGGATGAAAAATAACAAAGTTGGTTTCTGAGGGGTGGTCCCTTTAAATGTTCAGTTGGTGATAGATCATCTGTCATGTTCAGAACACATTGTAGCATATATTAAGGATATCATCGTTTGCAGCTCTGAAAGGATAGAACCTTCAAGTCGAATTTCTTGGTTTTTAGGCTAGGCCAAACGAATTTGATTCTCCACAACCGAACGTTAAAGACAAAACTGAAGCTATCCAAACGAAAGATGGGTGGAAATGTGAACAATGTTCGATTACCAATGGCTCATTCACTAATCGTTGTGGCTCATGCGGAAAACCACGATATATTCGCGTCCCATCTATAGATAAAACACCAAGCCAAACGGATGGACGAAAAAGCACTGAAAGTAAATCTAAAAACTTTGTCTTCTTTATTTCTTGAGGGTGTGATGTGAGGATGGCGATGAATGGGGGAAGTAGAGGAAGAGGGTAACAGAGAAATGAAAATTCTTAGCCTCATCCGATATCGTCACTGAGTCACTGACACTCATGCACGAAGCTTCGGATGGGCTGGGTTAGCGTATAAAAATTTAGTCTATGGATTATATGCTTTTCTCCCAGTCCATCCATCATGGGCTGGTTAAAAGCCCACAAGCCAGCCTAAGCTCTAGGTTAGATTGCTTCAACCATGGACATACAAATAACTCAAATGTTCACCATAAGAGATGTTCATCCGTCTCGGACTAAAAAAATCCTCCTTTAACATTCAGATAAACTTCGATTAGCAGTTTTTAGTGAGATATGAGAGATTTTCAAAAGAGATTTTTGCTCCATTTTATCGATTTGAATCCATTTTTGCAGAATTATGTACTAAAATTGATGAAATTTATTGTTACTACCAAATTCACAGTTTAGAGTTCTTAGCCCCTGGACACTCATGTAAAAATCGTGTCACTGCAGTCCATCCCAGCCCATGGTTTTTTCTCTAAAAAGAATTAACCCATAGACTGGACTGGGCTGGTTTTGACTCAGTTCATCTGGAGTTCTGCCATGTATTGAGTCGACTCGGTAATGAGTGCGACTATTTTGGTCGAAAAATACAGTCTAAATAAAGAGTTAACAAAAGAACATTTTGTTCCCTCATAAAAACGACATCGTATTTTCGGATTGATGTGAATCAGATAGGACCTTAGGCCGAATAATTCGGCTCACTTTCACTGCGTATTCATAATCTTCTCATAGTAAGCGAAAAAAGGAAAATAAAAAGGGAAGCAAAGGATGACTACCACCTAGACAGACAAATACAAACAGGGTGATGCTAGTTTTGCAGGAAAGAAGCACTAGATCTAAAATTATACTGGAAGACTTCTGTGCTGAAACTTTCGAGCAGCAAACAATAGATGTATGAGATAATCAGAGATGGAACCGATACCGGCAACCGGTCGGTCTGCCGATAATCGACCGGTCTACCCGTTCACTGACTGATCTATCTTATTTACTTTTCTGTTTTTATCAAGGAGACATGCTTATGATCTCTATTGGTAGTGATTGAAGGTTTGTAATGGATATCTATTGGCATGCCATCGTTCATTGACGAATCATATGACATCATTTATATCCGTGTTCATTCGTAAATATGAAGAAGTGGAAATCTCTATTTTTAAACGCCTCGTGTTCGAAAAAATGAGTGAGACTGGGGTGGTGTGGGTTGTGAGGATAAGGGTCAAAATCAAACCATCACCCTCATCTCCACACCCACACTCTCTAGGTGGAAGAAATGAAAATAATGGGGACTTGCATCTTGATCATAACATACAAGCATCTACCGGTCAAATACCGGTCTACTGGTCAGAAACTGGTCTAGCGGTAGACCGACCGATTTGGTCCCGTCTGATATATTCAGACAGGTATCGGTGTCGATCACCGAAAATCTAGACTTTTTCCATGTATGGAGATGATTAAGTGATAAAGGCATGAAGATCTTCACTAGTCAAGTAGCTGTAACTTGTTCCTAATATTTCTAATATTGTCGGCTAGCCGAGCAACTAGTTTTTCCCATTTGGTGGCCATTATGGGTGTGGGCGAACTGAGAGCACTAACCCATGGCGCTAGTGCTAGTAAGGAGTTTCATTATTTTTCATACAAGTTTTTAGAAAAGTCTATTTAGACAGTCTGCTACGCGATTAGTCTTTGTCGATGAAATATCTTTTATAAGGCAGTCTCTATCTAAGTAATATTTCGATATTTATCTGTGAATAGTCAAATAAAATAGTTAAACCGATAAAGCCGTGTAATGCAACGAAGTCATGTGAATAATAGTATTGGTACTAAAGAAATATAGGCTGATGTGGGTAGTTATGTTCGAGTTTTTGGTAAGCCCATGGGTGTCCACGGTTTGAGCAGTCTAGCTTGGTGCTTAGCTAAGGCTGTAGACTTGCAGATCATCCCATTATAGATTGTTTGGTAAAAAAAAAGGACATCATGTTTGAGCTGACTTTTACTTTCTCACCCATCTGAAACTCTGGTAGCCGTATTTCATCAGTGTAGAACAATCGTTGGTGAAAAAAGAGTGTGGCAAATCGCTCATATAGGATTCGATGAGTGCTTTGCAGTTGATGGAATTCTTCTTGAGAGCAAAGGAAGCATAATGGATTATTTGTTCTTTAGCAATTATCGGGTCCAGTTTGGTTCCGTCAGTTTTATCACAGAAAATCCACCTATATATTACGGATCTACCATCACTCAATAAAAGTGACTCCGAACTTGCAAGTTTAATTGGTCAACGTATCGAAAAAACGTTTCGAATGACACTCGTCGATATCCAATGTTACTCGAGATTAGGCATCGGCCGCATTCGTGTCCAAGATGATGATACAAAGCGCTATTTGACTGAAACCGTTGGCAGGCTAGCGCTTAATCCACAGGATGCATCAGCGACAATATTATTCACCGAAACACTTAAATATGTCTCTTACATTGTTCTCGTTGCGACCAATGCATACGATGAGATGGATTGTCCAAAACCAGAAAAAATCATCCGTCGATGGAACGAGATGTACTCAGGAGAAGGGCCGCAGTTGTGCGAGCAAGTCGATATTCAATTTCCAAATGTCTATCGTATTGTCTTATCATCATTCGATGAATTAGGCGAAATTGTGGATAATACGGATTTTGGTATCGATCACAATTCAGTTGCTCGAATTTATCTCGGTGCAGATTGTAGTTATCTGGAAAATCTTCCGAAATCGACTTCTGAAGATCAGATTCAGCAAGCAATCAGCAATGCCATTGGACAAATAGAACCCATCCCCAAATCAGATCTTTACATTCAGCTGAATAAGCAAACTAATAATGTTTGTTTGATTGCTTCCAATATGGCTCGAAAGTTGACTACAAAACCCATCTATCTTGGACAGCAGTCAGTCATAACGACGGAGAGCCTCACTCTTTGTGTACTTATTCATTTCGATCCTAGGACATGTGATGAGGATACCATTATTCGACACAGTATGTTCAATGGTAAAGCGCGACTTAAAAAACGTCGTGAAGACAGTTTGATTGTTGAAATAATGGACAAGAAAGTACTTAATGAATGTGTCAAGCGTAGAGTTCTACGTATTGGCGAACAAGTATTTCAGTTGGAGATCTATACTCCATCTAGCGATCTAGAGGAGTGTGAAATTGATGCTGACACTTGGTACAAAGGAGACATGCTTCGATACAAGGCAGACATCATGAAATTTGTTCCTGATCGTCAGCACAAGATTTTTCGTCTCAAATGGAACGCAAAGAACTGGCTGGATGAATTTCGACGTGTAAGAGATACCAATCTGAATGCTGGAAACAATGATGATTCGGGACAGACTGGAAATATAACACTTGATCAGATGCGACATCGGCTTCGAGTGACTGTTATGCTCAATACGATCGGAGCGATATATAAGAAGGCTTACATGATCGAAGATCGAGAAATCAAATTGAATTTAGATCTCAACATGAAAACGATCATCTACAATAATGAGTCAAAGCTGGCATTAGGAGGACCAATGCCATTGAAGAAACCTCCTTACGATAGAACTAAAGTCTCAGTAGTCAATAAAGATTGTATCCTTGTTTACGAAGACTTAGTGAAGAAACAGAAAAATCCGCTTCTTTTGAATATGACCAATGCAAGCAGTTCCGGTGGTGGTTATCGAAAAGGCGATGGAGCACAAGAAGAGAATCTCTTCCGACGATCGGACTATGTACGAAGTCTCGATGTTGGTCTTGATCAATATGTCGACGACTCATCTGAACGATCGAGTTGTACGTTGACATGCGATCTCGATTCGTCATTCAATTCGCGCAACATGTATCCGATGGATGAATATGGTGCTATTTATACATCAGGTTTAACTTTTTTTCGTCGAACAGAAGACGAAGGCTATGTTTTTATGGAAGAGCCATTGACAGGAGTCTGTTCATTGGCTATGGCTGCATATCGAGATCCGAAATTAGATGGAAACATGTTGGCACCGAAATTTGCTGTTGGAACGCGAAAGAAAATAGAAAATATTTTTTCAATTGGCTATCATCACAAACATGATTGTCTTGTTTTATCAGCTCTCGGTTGCGGTGCCTACAGAAATCCGCCCGAACATGTTGCGAAAATCTTTCGCTCAGTTATCGAACAATATGCAGGATTTTTTGAATTGATTATTTTTGCTATTATTGATGATCATAATACAGGACAAACTTTGAATAAGAAAGGCAATTTTCAACCATTTTATGAAGAGCTAAATGATAAAATACTGAAACCATATCCACTGACCAATGAAGCGAATACAATATTCGGTCCTTATCGTTTTTCATCGGACAGTGTAACTGTACACGATATTTCGATTTGCGATTTAGTACCATGTAATTTTGGAGCCAAATGTAACCAAATGTATGATTCTCAACATGCTGCTGATTATTCTCATCCACCTGTGTGTATTCAACAGTCATTACATGGGTCATGCACGCAAACGGATGATGTTGTTCACATGTCATCATTTATTCATTCGGAGCCATGTAAACACGGTGCGCAATGCCCAGATATTGACAACAAGGAACATGCCCGAAAATTCGAACATCCGTCGTTTTGTCCAAGCGGAGGCACCTGTCAAGATACAAGTAATACTCATGAGAAAGAATATCGACATTTGCCATTATGCACACATGGTCACAGATGTCTGGATTTTAAAAAAAGTAGTCAAGCTCATTGTAATTCATTTCGTCATTATATGCCTGCTTGTCAACATGGACAATATTGTGTTGGTTTTCATAATAAAGACCATATGAGTAACTACAAACACCCATTTCCTACTCCATGCCCTTGGACTCCATATAATTGTCGACTCCATAATGAATTGACACAAACCTCGAATACTGGAAAGGTGTCACAAGTTACTCATCAACACTGTGTTGATTATGCTCATGTATGTCCGTTTGGTCGCAATTGTAATGATCCAAATTCATGGCATCGGGAAAAATTGATTCACGTTGCTCGTATGCCATGTAAGTTTGGTGATGGATGCAATAGACTCAATCAAGAAGATCATCTGAATTCATTTACGCATCCGAAAATTCGCGATATACGTATTGCATGTAAACATGCTGACAAATGCCATGAAGGACAAGATCCAAATCATTTATCGAGATATCGTCATTCAATGACGTTTAAAGATAGTGGAGTGGTTGGATACTTTAATTTAAATAAAGATTTAGATTTTGTACAAAATCAAAATAGCAATATCCAACGCGTTTTAGATTACGCTGAGAAGAAAAACTGGAAACAGTTCACACTGAAGTCTATTCCAACAGAGATCATCAATTCCCAGGGAGTAAAAAAATGAAAAAAATTTCATTTAAATGATTATTTTCAAACTTTTCATCAAAAAAATTTCGTTACTTTAATTATTTTGCAAAAATCAAACTCATCCAGATAGTTTCATTA